CTAGCATCTTTCAAACAATTTTTTGGACTTTAGTACTTAAAAAATTTTGTTTGTATGCATGGAATGTTTATAAGTAGAATGTTCTTGAGTAGGGGACTATATGTATATATATATAGATAGATAGATTGATAGACATAGACATAGATATAGATAGATAGATAGATAAATATTGATATAGTTTAAGCTTCTTGCACCTTCTTTTAGGATCTGTGGATATAGGGTTTATTTAACATGACTTGCCCTCACCTAGGGAAATGTGAGATGAAATTTCTGTGTTTATTTGCGTAAGACCATGCAAGTACAAATGTAGCAAATGATCAAGATCAATGTGCAAGTTTACCCACCAAATATTCTAATATGCTTTTAACTTGTGCTTTTCTCAACTTTATTCATTAAAAAGGAAAACTTTTGCTGGGAACCAAAATGTCAAAAATTACATTCAGCAGATGTTGAGAAATCTTACTTTTAATTCTGTTTACTCCATTACATCCTCCTTTTATTTTACTATTTCTTTATCAAACTCTTCATAGTTATTGAGATTGTTCTTTGTTTTCATAAAAGGTCAACAAGAGCTTCCAGAGAAGATGGTTTGTACTGAAAGGGAACCTCCTGTTCTACTTTGAGAAGAAAGGAGATCGAGAGCCCATTGGGGTCATCATCCTCGAGGGCTGTACAATAGGTGAGTCATCACTCAACTTATTGTCAGTATCATATCTTAGAAAAGATATTTTTGCTCTCTTGTTCTATTTTATTTTATTTATTTTTCTGATTCTCTCATTCCCTACAGAGTTAGCAGAATGCGAGGATCAGTTTACCTTCAAGCTGCTCTTCCACGGTGGGGGTGGGAGGACCTATGTCCTGGTGGCCGATTCTCAGGAGTCCCTCGAGGAGTGGATGAAGGCCCTGGCGCGGGCATCCTATGACTACTTGAAGCTCATGGTCAACGAACTCCAGAAGCAGCTGGATGAACTTAATGGTGGGTACCTGTGGAATTTTGCTTGGGCAGAGTGCAGAGGAATTGGGTGAGTGTCTGTGATTTTATAAACTTGTCTTGGGTTATAATTAGCAACTTTATATCAGGTCCGTGTGTGATTATATGAGTGATTTTGAGGTGAATCGTGAATTATTTGTTGATTTTTAACACTGCCATGGAGAGCATGTTTGATTTCTTTTGTTACCTCATACTTCTGTTGGGAAGAACCATTGACTTTATTAATTAAATATCTCATTGGTGCTTCATAATTGTGGCACGGATAAGATAGTGGGTTAGCATGCAGTGTGGTGCTATACTAGATTCAGGATTTTGTTTTAGTACTGAATGAGACCAGAGAATTTCATAGTGCACAATTAGTGCTTCCATATTTATGTATTTTTCAAAATATACATTCATAAGAAAAAAGTTTGACAAGTAGTACAGTCCATTTTATGGTGATTTGCAGTCTTTCTTACCCATGTGTAGTAAGTTGAATGAAGGTGCTTTTATTTATTTATCACTTCATTCAGCAAATAGTACAAAAGCCAGATGAAATACATGAAACCTATTTCATTGTTCAAGAATAGAAATTAAACTCAAGAAATATTTATTACTACAGTCAACACATAAACCCATTTCACAGAACATCATGAAATATGGATGCAGATGTTCATGCAGGTGATACCTGAATATACTTGATCATTGTATGGTCTAACACCATTGTCATTTGTGTCTTATTTATTATAGAAACATCCTGCCATAACAAAGCAGCATGGAGCCACATTTGAAGTGTCGTTGTTGAAGGTTTCAAAGCATAATATACACTCCTTCTTTACATCTCACAACCCTGTGTCTAGGCTTTTCCATTTTTTTTACTGCAGTGACATTCCCTTTATTGTCTGTAACTAGGTAAGAGCTGTTCATGCTAAATATTGTGTTCCATGATAGTAGAGGACTGAAATTCATTAAAGAAATGTCCTGTTTGCATGGATATATGAGTCTGTGATAATTTTGAGACAGGAGTTGCAAAAATGAGCTTAGTTGATAGAAAACACAAGAGTTGGATAAGGTTGATACATATGGAAGGTCTTTTCATATTGGGTTAGTTGATATTCAATTGATTCCAGTTGCAATTAGCTTAGACAACCCAACTCAGTAACATAGTCAGATGAATGTTGCATGTTATTAATTATTATTTAAATTGCCATAATTGAAAGGTTACCAGTGAGTGTTAACCCAATGTCAGCAGGTTTATTTACTGTCCCCTTTAGATTTTAGTGAGTTTTGTTACATACAGATGGCTCCACGTGTGCTCAGCAGCAAGAAGTCTAGCAGTTGGCCTTAGGGACTGATCCTGATTTCCCCATATTGACATTACTATCATAGTTATTATGATTATTAAATTGTTATTAAAATATTAATAACATCAAAGATAATAAAATAATAGAAGTGAATATTTTAAAAAATGAAGGAAAAGGGTAAACAGATGAGATGAATAAGACTAATAACTGACTCCTTGATGACTAAGCACTTGTAGAGCCATCGATATGTAAAGACAATTGATAAACTTCTTTTTACAGTGGGCATGACATTGTAGTCTTGCCACCCACTGACATTGGGTTAACAAGTATCAGTAAACACAAGGACATGAGTCAGTTTTCTCATTACAGAAGAGGAAGCTGTTAACACCTAGATAATGAATAAAGGATTTAGCTCAGACGATGTAGATTTGTCATTTAGAAACCCAGGACACAGAATTTATAGTCAGCCTTTATAGCAGGTTTTATTATTATTAAAAGAATCACATTTAGTTGTTGTAAGTATCTAGAAATCTGCTAGTATATGTTGTATCCAGAAATTATTTTATGTTAGACACAAGATGCTGTAAGTATTTATTGTCATGCACAAATGGGTAAAACCTTTAGCAATAATTGAAGCAGGAATTAATATGAATGTTCAAATCATCAGTAGTTTGAACTCTCCAGCAGTTCAGATTCTTTTCTATTCTATTCAGACCCAATTTCATGAACAGGAAGAGCAAGATATCTCAATTTTCCTCTCTCATATGCTATAGGTTTACATAGGAGACCCATGATTTGTGAAAGAGTCCACCCTCCTTAGCATTTAGGGACTCAGGCTCATACAGCGTCCATTGGTTTCCTTTTGTTAGTTTTGTTTATACATAGATGGTGTACCAGTGCTTAGAAGGCAATTACTACCTGATCTCACCTGTTTATCCTTTTTTTTTTTCTGGAGAAATTATTTTATTATATTAGTTTAACTAACTACTGTTATTAATATGCTTTTTGTTGTTGTTATTTTTATTGCTTTATTATTATTATTGTTATTGTTATTGTTAACAGTGATAAGTGTCATAAAGATAAAAGTTTTCCCTTTCAAAATTTCAAGGAATAAGAGAACTAGGTCTGACTCCTGACTCCTTGGTAACAAAGCACATTTGAAGCCCAAAATTGATAAATAAAACCACAGTGGGAAGGACACACATACATTAATTCCAGGCATCAACAGGTTAAGTTGTTGGGTGAAGCAGTTATCAGCTTATCACAGAGGGCTTTTGGCAAGGTTATTTGAGCACCTATGATTGAATAAAAAAAAAAAATGTTAGATGAAAAAAAAATGTTAGATTTAAAAAAAAAAATCCATAAGCGTTTCCTCATATTACCTTTATATATGTAAACTCTACAGTAGATGTTATGGACAAATCAAAATATGGATACTCATTTCTTTAGTTCATGTTAAGCTTTCACCATATCTTATGTGTGTCAGAGATTGTGGAAATCTATTTAGAAAACTATCAAAAATCATTGCAGTTTCCATGCACTCTAATCCATGAAGATGACTATATTCACTATAATGTAATCCCAAATGCAATTTTACAAACCACGGTCTTGATTACCCAGAAAAAAAAAAAAAAAAATTGTATATTATTTCACAGTGAGCAGGATTGATTTTTTTCATTTGCAGCTCAATTCAGTCTTGATACTTGTTAACTCATAGCTTTGTGGAAAAAAAAAGTTGAAATAAACCACAGTCAATCAATATTACAGGATGTGTTTCTCTCTTTCTTTCTCTCTTTCTTTCTATCTTTTTCTCTCTTTCTCTCCTCATCTTGCCCCCTCTCCTTCTCCCACTCTCTCCTTTCCTCCTCTCCCCTTTCTCCCTCTCACCTTTCTCCCTCTCTCCTCTCACCCTGTCTCCACTCTCCTTTCCTCTCCTCTCTCCTCTCTCCTCTCCCCCTCTCCCCCTCTCTCCTCTCCCCTCTTACCCTCTTACCTTTCTCCCTCTCTCCTCTCTCCCTTTCTCCTTTCTCCCTCTCTCCTCTCCCCCTCTCTCCTCTCCCCCTCTCTTCTCTCCCCCTTTCTTCTCTCCCCCTTTCTTCTCTCTCCCTCTCTCTCCTCTTTCCTCTCTCCTCTCCCCCTCTCACCTTTCTCCCTTTCTCCTTTCTCCCTCTCTCCTCTCCCCTCTCTCCTCTCCTCCCTCTCTCCTCTCCCCCTCTCTCCTCTCCCCCTCACACCTCTCCCCCTCTCTCCTCTCCCCACTCTCCTTCTCCCTCTCTCCACTCTCCTCTCTCCTCTCTCCTTCCCCTCTCCCCTCTCTCCTCTCCCCCTCTCTCCTCCCTCCTCTCCCCCTCTCTCTTCTTCCCCCCCACCCCCCTACCTCATACCAATGATTTCCTTGTTATGATATCTATTATTGTTCATCACATTTCCAGACACAGAAAAGGGTAATATAGATGAAAGCAATGGGCACGCTCCTAAAGCCCCGCCTCGGCAGAGACAAAACCCATTCAACAGAGCACAGGTTTGTAGTTTTTTTTTTTCTCCAAAAATGTTTAAAAAGTTAATATTTCATCTTATAATTTCTCTTCTCCATTTTCTTTTTCTCATCATCATCATAGGGTTTTTTTCTTTGCCTCTCTATATTTTTTCTTCTTCCTCCTCCTCCTCCTCCTCCTCCTCCTCCTCCTCCTCCTCCTCTTTCTCCTCTTTCTGCTCCTTTTCTTCTC